TCACTGACGATGCCGGCGAAACGTCTGGGAATGTACCACGTCCACGGTCCGACTTTGGAAATGATCATACATACAATAGACTTCGGACTAGGTTCTTTCCCTTTAATCCTTTTTACAATATGACCAAGTTGCGAAAACAAGGTCAAACAATCTCAATATATTTATATTTGCAGGCGCCGTACTTTATATAGTAAACTTCCAAACAATTCGAGTTATCTGACCTCTCATGATACGTGGGTAAACTTGTGAATATTGAGTCCTTTTTTACGAAGATAGGTATATCCACTTTTGCGTTTATTTATCCATCCGTATTTTTTTATATTCTCCGTCCCGCTATCAGCTTTTCACGCCCCATATATTTATTTCTATTACTTCTCTCGGACATTCGTTGCCGATGAAAATCCGAGTCAATTTGTTCAATTCTTCGCCTTAGCATTCTAAGTCTATTGATTGTAGGCTTCCGATGAGCATGCTTCTCCATATTGCTATCTTCAGTCTATATTTGTGGGAAGACTTGAAATAGGGTATTATTCCATCATATGACTTTTTTGGAAAATCTTCTCCTGCGTGTCCCATTCGTGCGAATGACTACAAAATCTAGAAAAGTAAACGCTCCTTTACTTTCGTTGCGAATTTGATCCCTTCATCAACCTGGTTTATAAACTACATGAAATAGCTCAATTTTTTATTCTATGCGACCAAAGTGTATATTAATTATCAAAGTATCTCATTCACATATTCATGCTCTTTCTATTAGAAAGATCCAGAGGCCATCGCTACAATCCAGCGTTTGATGGAACGACGACAAGAATTATTTGCGGAACTGTGCATTGACAATCTGGTTGATACGCATTTCTCCCCATCACCGAACCCTGCATCCTCATCCGGCTCCTCTGAGTCTTCAGGGGCCCCCAAGAATCCCACTGCATGTCCCGTGCTTGAGGCCACATTACCTCGTGGGATCGCCTATCATCATAGTGGCCTAACACAGGAGGAGCGCCGCCTAATCGAGGAAGCATATTGCGAAGGTATTGTTAGGGTGCTCTGCTGCACCTCGACTCTTGCTGCTGGCGTAAACCTGCCTGCCAGACGGTAAGATCTTTCGTTATTTCCCCTTGTTTATTTTCGCATATTCTACAGAGCCATATTTTATGGCGACCATTTCATTTTTCCTATTTGTCATATATTTACTGTTACTAACTGAATTTTCCTAGGCCAGCCGTTATAGATAATTCCAGTTGAAGTTTAATTAATCCATAGCCGTTTTAGAAACTATGACGTGAACCCTGCAATAGATGTTTGTGAATATCTCCGACCACGAAAACATTTTATCTACCCAACCCGAATTCATATTTAAGGAATTTTTTTTCAAATGTTAATTTTTTTGGGGGGTAATATTCAGAAAGTCTTTTATAACCATGCAAGAGCATGTTTATTAGACAATTATGTTGAATGATTTGGCATAAATATCAGATTGATGGACATTTGACTTTATCTTCATTTAAAGTAAAATGTTGGTGACAATTCCAAACTCCTGGAATAAGATTTAAAATATGGGACCAGGAAGACCCTCACTTGGCCCTTTTTGGTTCGATCGTTTGTCACATTTGAAATTTAAGTTCTTAGCAGAATTATGCCATTTATACTAACCGATGGAATATAGCAGATGGTATATAAGACTAGAAATTGGGCTAATTGCAAATTACATGGTTAAGTAAAGCTCTTGAACCTTGAAACATTTTCCAAACCCTTTTCTAAGTAACAAGTATTGCCCTTATATCAGATGTATTCACCCTATTTCATTTAAAGTGACGAAAGACTGGTAGTAGAATTTTCCCACAATGCTATGAGTGGAGCTGACATTTCCATTGCATTTCACTAAGCCTTACTTTCCCGAAAGTTGTTCTCATCCAGGATGGACTGCAGTTTCGACCTCGCATCGGTCTTATCAACACTCACAGTGGGAGTGGAACCGTGACAATAGGCATGCGAACTTGGCACATTAACTACTCGGCCATATTGCTACTAGTGCCCTTTGTCACAGGGCACATGTGCATTTCAAGGAAGGCTAGTCTTTTCACATATCACATTCTTTTGTAGGATTGTCGATGAAGCAAACGTATTTTTGCTATAACAATCGATTACATTACTTATTTTTCGTATATAAGTAGAGTTTCGAGACTATAAGTAAATCAGTTATATGAGATGTATTCACCCTATTTCGTTTAAGGTAGTGATTTCCAAACTGTGTGCCGCGGCGCCCCGGGGAACCGCGGCCTCTTTACAGGGGCCCCGCAAAATATTGTAAGAGCTTCATAATTAATTTAACCCAGACATTTTACCTAACTAAACAAAAACGTAAGAGAAAACGCTGCGTCTTCTCGATCGCGCCATACGATCGCACTAGACACGTCGAGGTGCGTAGAACCTTCGCGACAGCTTTGGAATGTTCTGGAAGATCTTGCGGAAAGTATATAAGCAAGCGTTGCCGGCTCGATTCAGTCGACTTATAATTTGAGTCTAGTGAAGGTAAACTCAGCACTTCATACATAAATAATCAGCGACATAAATTAGTAAATGATTTCAGATTGTAATTTAATTAGTGTTATATTACTTCTTGTTTGTTGCCTTTGATAAATAACTTTGTGATTTTAGGCTCCTGTATCTTTGATAATGGACTGATTTTTGTACAGTTATAAACGTAATAGTGCAGATAAAGAAAGTATGCTTTTAACCAGTGGCTCTAGTATGAATAAACGAGAATATCGTAAATATGATGACAGTTATCTAAAGTTTGGCTTTACGTCAACAAAAATCAATGGTGAAGAGAGACTACAATGTGTATTGTGTATGAAAATTTGTCAACAGATTGTATACTTCCAAGTAAGTTGAAGCGCCATTTAGAAACTAATCACAAACAGCATGGTTGGCAATCTTCGTGATTTTTAGCTAGGAAGTTAAAAGAACTGAAACAACAAAAAAATACATTTTTTTCACTGCATCAATACCAAACAACGTTTTACTAGCATCTTACAAGGCTTACAGAATCGCGAAATGTAAGAAACCTCATACCATCGCAGAAGAACTTATTCTACCGACTGCTGTAGACATGGTGAACATCATGGTTGATGAGCCTGCTGGGGAACTGCTTTTAAAAGTGCCTTTGTCCAATAACACAATTCGTCAGAAAATACAAGCTATGGCAGAGGATATCATCAATCAATTAATTGAAAAAATTAAAGGATTCCAATTTGGATTGCAGATAGATGAGGCTACGGATAATAATAAGGATGCTCATTTGATATGCTATGTACGGTTTATAGATGGTAATAATATTAAAGAATATCTTCTGTTTTGTACAAATATCACTGGAGGAGCGAAGGCTCAGGACCTGTTCGAGATTCTTAATACATTCATATCTGAAAATAATTCGAATTGGTCTAAATGCCTTGGTGTCGGTATTGATGGAGCTCGCTCTATGTCTGATTGCTATGGAGGATCACAAGCGCTTATTAGAAGCAAATCACCAAATGCACTTGGACCCATTGCATTATTCATAGAGAAGCGCTTGCGTCAAAGCATCTGAGTCCTGCACTGAAGCAGGTGTTAGAATGTGTGATGAATGTGGTAAATTTTATCAAATCTCGTCCATTGAAAGCAAGGTTTAAAAAAAACTGTGTGAGGATATGGGAGTCGAATACTCGTCTTTGTTGTACTATAGCAGTGTACGATGGCTCTCGTGGTAATGTTTTATCACGTACCTTTGAATTGCGGCAAGAAATTTTTTTTCCTTAAAGAAGAAGGATACAAAGATGCATAATATTTTGCTGATGGCGATAAAAAAAAATAAAACTGGCATATTTATGCGACATTTTTAAATAGCTGAATTCCTTTAATCGCTCTCTACAGGGAAAGTACATGCACCTTTTAAAATGAACGGAAAAATGTCGGCTTTTATAAAAAACTTAAACTAGAGAATAAAATTGAATGAAGATACAGACAAAATTGTTTTTTAATATTACAGCAATTTTTGACGTAAAATGAACATGATCTTTTTCAAGATATAAAAACCATGCTTGAGAAGCACTTATCACAGCTAATTAACTGGTTTGTGAAATATTTTCAAAATGAAAATTTGATAAGTTTGCATGGATTCAAGATCCATTTAACACTAGTCGCTGTAATAAAAAGCAAGTATCGAGCGAAAATCAACGTGGAAAAGGAAATGAGGGTGGCCGTGTCCAATTTAATTCCACAATTTGAGAAAATGTGCAGTGATTTACAGGTTAATTCATCACATTAATTATTAAATATTAATTAAATGTTAATAAAGTAAAAAAAATGAAGATACACTAGTTTTATTTATTTTTATCTCTTACGTACGAATAGTCATACTTAGGGTAGGGCATCATGGAAAAAATGTAATTGAAAAAGGGCGCCGCGACTAGGAAAAGTTGGGAACAACTAGTTTAAGGTGATGAAGGTAGTCTTGAAACTCTACTTATATTCAAAAATTAATTATTCCTTTTGACAATGCCCAGATATCTATTGTATTTCAATTAAAAAAACTCGATAAGCGCGTCAAAACTATAAACGTTATCGACTTATATACTCACATTGACTCGAGGGGATTACCTTTTATACTTTGTGGGTGCAGGCCCTTAAACTGGGCCAAATTCAAGGAATGACGTAAATTATTACTAAAACGCTTCAATATGATGAAGAAAGGAACTCGTTTCCTTGTGAATCTTCATTAAAGACGAGCTTTTGTCAACCATTTCCGTAAAACTCCTATACGCATTACTAATTTGGCTTCAAACTCTAATTAAGTATAAATCGTCACTGGTTTTGCCTCGGCGAATCATAAGTTTCACTGGTTCTGCTAAGATTTAATTATTTTAGTTGCAAAGCATGGTGCTGATTCACTGTCTATTCTAAGCAGATGCTATTTTGAATGTTTAATTTGCCATAGTTACCGCCTTGTATAGTAATATACAAGAGTCTTCCGTTATTGAAACTCAGAACATTGGGGAGCCCTCCTTCAATAATGTTCCATTCAAGCGTCCAAACACAGGTTCTTTTTGGCTTCAAATCTGCTTATTTTATTGTTTACGATAAAGGTAAACTTGTTTTTTGTTCGGTATTTTGATAATTTATTCTGATTTTGAGTAATGAGTACATTTTTTATCGTTTTATGGAGCAAGCCATTTTTCAAGTGCAGATAATGGTTGAATTGTGGCTTTCCAAGCTCTTCTTGTACCTTTGATTTGTAAACATTTTTGGCCTCAAGTATAGAATTCTATTTCGATTATCGGTCGTTAGGCCTTCATGCCGCTTTTTCTATATAACTTGATTATTCTAATAATGGTTTAACAATAATGCTTCTTCTAAGTTTGGAAGAAAATATAGTCTGATCTCTTCATTTCCTCCTATTTCTCATTCAGACTTTATTTCCCCCTCTCTTTTGTTTAGTGTTATCCTGAGACGACCTTATGTAGGTTCACAGTTCCTCACATGGAGCCAGTATAAACAAATGACTGGTCGTGCTGGTCGCGCAGGGCTAGACATTCACGGAGAAGCAATCACCATCCTTCAGTCCGATGATCGCCTTCAATTCGCCCGTCTACTTTCGCGAACTGTGCCTCCATCTACTGATAAGCCCTCATCGTCTTCGCTCCCGGCGACAGCAATGCTAATAAAGTGTGACAGACAGACTCCAGTTTCTACTCCTCAGTTTCTGACCTCTAAAACTACCATTGGAGATGTCTGCTATAGCAGTCTTAATTTCGAGAATGGCAAGGGCATTCGGCAGCTTGTTCTTTCCCTTATAGGTCTTGAGGTGTGTCTAGTTAACTCTACTTAACAGTTTTTCCTCTATACAAACCTATTTTTAATTTTACGTACTATCAACACGTGTGAATTCTCTATCTCTTTATTTTCGCCTTTAATCTAAACAGTTGGTACATAGCTCAATCTATACATTTTGTACAACAGTCCAGTTTTTATTGTGACAATGAATGATTATATAATTAAATGGTTATCTATATGAAGATTTGTAAAAACCAGTTTGCGGACTTGATGCATAGCATATGGAAACGGCAAGATTACCGAGGATTTTACTTGGCTTAACTTTATTTTCACGTATACTATATTTGACCTTTAAAGCATTCATCTTCCTTTTCAGATGGCGGAAACATATTCAGACCTACTACGTGCGCTGTCTTTGACTTTGTTTTCTGTTCAGCAGCAGCGATTAATTGGAGGTCATGATCTGCCTTCCGCCCATCTTGATGGACTTTTACGCACCCAACTTCAGCTACTCATCGAGAAAAATTTAATCAGTGTGATTAGCGGATCTTCCACTTTGGTTTTCTCTCCAGGTGGTCGCTTCAAGGTAATCTTGCTGAGGCTGTTTTTAAACCATGTTACTCCTTGCCTCAGGATATGTTTACTTCGCCTTCTAGTATTGTTGTTGTAGTCCACATTAATCGTCATATAATTATCGCTTGTTTTTATCTTCACAACGACATGTTGCGTCTTGCTGAATAAGTTCATTCATTAATTGATTTGAATTGTTCGCTTTATGAGTGACTGATTAAAATAGTAAAATAAAATGATCAAAATGACCGGTGTATTGACTGAATTTCAAAGCAAGAAAGGAGATGTGGCCTGACTGGTCCGGAGTTTAGTTGGTCTATGGTTCTGGAAATCCGGCCTACATGCATATGAGCAGAGCACGTCTTTACATGTGCAATCACTTAATATTACACGCTTCACTGTTGCATAGCTGTAGGAATAAAACCGAGCGCAAGCATATTTAGTGACGCGTTCATTAATCTCGTTAGTCTTAACACATGCTGATTATCATTTCGTGTGAAAATATTAGGATATACGTTTGTCGATTTTATCATAAATATGATATGTATTCACCCTATTTCGTTTAAGTTGCTAAAGGACTGGTAGTAGTGACAAATAGGGGCAATCCCCTTTACATATTTTCTGTTCAACTGTTGTATCGTCGCTCCTCGCCTCTCACTTAATTTGTCAATTTGATAAGCTATAATTCTGTGCTAACGATGGAGCCTTACTGATGATGCCGGTGTAACGTCTGGGAAAGTATTAAGTCAATTGTCGGATTTTGTAAATCCAAAATACTATGGCAGAGGACACAGGACTAGGCACGTTCCACAAGTTCTCCCTGACACTCCATCCACGTTACGAAAATGAGGTCATATCAACACTATAAAGCTAAAGGAGACTACGACGAAATAGAAGCCTACACTATCTTGGTATTTACATCTACGATATAGTTTAGATAATTTATTTTTGATTTACCAACATGGAAGTAATACTGGGTTGAAAGCAGAGCTATAAAAGCGTACTTGTATACGATTATTAAATGTTTTGTCTATTAGGTAAGATGCTGTTTTGCATAGATATTGATAGGAAATCAATATGTTGGTTTTATTCCTAATTTTCTCTCCTCAACCATAGCTAAAAGACGAAATTAGGCAGTGTAGGGCTACACGAAGTTTTGCTGGATTTCACTTCTCCCAAATATCCTGTGAGGACTTGTATTTCTGTTAAAAGTACCTGATGGAGAGATTCTTTAGTATTTCTCCAGAATACGACTTATTCCTGTTGCAGCCGTTTGATTTTGCTGTTATGTTAACACAGGTAGATATAGTTAACAAGACCCCATCTGTAGGAACTTAAGTTAAGAACCACTTACCCCCGATATAGATGTGGTCACTGTTGCTTCCTTATGTAAATTAGCCGGCATTTGATGTTTCAATGCTGAAGGAAGTTTTGGTATATGACAGTACGCCTGGTGTGTGTATAAAATGTTCAACTCGTGAAGTATGAGGGCCCTAGCCGGATTAGAGGCTATTCAAGTCTCCTCTTCCTCACTGATTGTCTGTTCTCTCTTTCTCCCTCTCCTTAAGCCCATACAATAGCTTCAGATAGTTTCAATAAGTTTCCTGTATTTATTCCTCCCATTCAGGATTATGGCTGGTTCGTTTATTTCCATACGCTAGTTAATCTTACAGTGTTGGTTCGACCTTATTTTCACAACTTAGTCGGAGCGTCATGGAGACCACGTGAAATGTACCTAGTCCCGTGTCCTATGTCATAGTATTCATGATTTTCAGCATTGGGCAATTGGCTGGGTACATTCCCAAACGCTTCCTTGGCATGGTCTGTGAGAAGCGCCATCGCAAGCACAGAGTTACATATAAGTGACAAGTGAAAGCAATCCCCCTGACCAATTTTATATTTAACCGTTGTGGCATCACTCCTCGCGACTAATTTTTGTTCTACTCTCCAGTGCCGCATCTCTTTCTCTCAACCCCACTTCATATGGCTCATTCACACAATTATGTACTCTCGTTTCCTCCAATTTCGCCTAAAAGTGTCTCTACAAGTGGATTTAGTGCAGTATAATTATCTCCACAACCGGCACCTGATTCCGTTTGCAAGTCTCCTGATGTACATTCTGCCCCCTTTTTTTCTACCAAATTGTCAATTGGCCACTTCTATACATCAAAATCACCGTTTGGCTGTCTTGAATCTGGCTGCCTAAGAGCCTTCTATTCCCATCCTCGATTACGCTACATTCGAGGATTTAGAGCAGATGATGCCCATGTTCATGCACATGCTCAGCAAGAGCATATAATTTTGTGAATAAGTGGATGGCCCATATAAGTGCGGTTGAGAGAAGGAGATGCAGCACCAGAAGGTAGAACACAAAATAGGGACAAGGAGTAATGCAACAACGATTTAACAGAAAATTGGTCAAAGGGATTGTCTTTTTGTCACGGATATGTTGTAACTCTGTGTTTTCGATGGCGCCTTTTACAGACCATGGTGAAGCGTTTAGGAATGTACCCAGCCAATGGTCCAATGCTGGAAATCACGAATACAATGGCAGGGGACATGGGACTAGGTACGTTCCACACGGTCTCCCTGACGCTCCGAAAAGTTGCGAAAACAAGGTCGAACCAACACTATAAAGCTAAAGGAGACTACTACCAAAGAGAAAGCCACACCATCTTGGCCTTCATATATACGATCTTATTAATCCTACGTCCCCGTGGCTTGTAGGGCACAATTTTGATCGTCCTCTCATGTGTCCTATATAAGCTATTCGTTTAAGCAGTTCAGAGCTTTGTGCCCATAGACCCATACAAGTGGTTTTGTGTTACGATAATTTCTTCCGGATTGATCTTCAGATCTCTCCCACACAGAAATTAATACTATGACACAAAGCTTTATAACTACTTGGCCTAGAAAAAGATGAGAAAAGTTCTTAATCAGAATTCAAACTGTTAAATGCGTTAGTTTCTTTTAATTTAATGTCCTGAACTCCCTCTGCTTCTTTACTTCACCCACCTTTTCGTAAGCTGACAAGAAGACATCACAATTAACCAAGTTGACTGCCTTATCTGCCTGTCTCGACCTGTATAGCTATTTATTGTTTTGACCTAATCTACTTTTCACTCTTCTCATTTTCTGGTCCCAGTGATTTATGTCTGCTACACGTAAACTCCTTATTATGATAGATTTTATAGCTCAT